GGCGATTAGACCTTAAATCAAAGAGCACCAAGCTCTGATACCAATTGTTAGACCCTAGAGCGGGGTGATTAGCGTCTTATGCTAATCTAATCCGATTAAATGCCAATTACAATTAATTAACAAGTTATCCTAGCAAGTATGAAATACCACAAGATATATGAGCTAGGATAAGCAATGTAAACAATGAGATATATCCTATATGATAAATATGTATATATGCAAGGATATATAAACAACACAAGGGTAAACAATCTAAACAAGATAGTGGATAAAATAAATGAGCAATGTACAATTGGCGATATAAGATGAATGCAAAAACAAATACGCCAAAGACAAACTCAAACAAGCAATATGATCACGGAGTTCGGACCTTCCGTCCTACGTCTCCGCTCCCCACTCCCGGGGAGAAATCCACTATCAACCGGGTTTTCTACGTCACCCGAACAACGTTTACACCTCACACTCGGTTTTTTAGCTAACCGAAAAACTTTACAATCAACACACTATTGTAATCCCACTCTACACCCACTAAGTATTGGACCTAACCGTATCTCCCTCAAGTGCTCGATTACAACCTCTCCCTAGGCTCGTCAACCGACGCCACTCTTCTTGGGACGATCCCCGACTCTCACCACACACTCCTCACTTGGTGTACAAGTGTATTACAAAGTGAATCTCTCAATAAGCACAATATAACAAATGATTGTTCTCAACTATGGATGAGAACACAATGAAAGCACAACTCAAAGTTACAATCTCTCACCACCCAACTATACTATGTATGTAAATACTAAAAGCTCAATGTGGGTGTGTGTAACAATGAGTAAAATAAAATCTAACTCAAATAGCAAACTAGCAATAATAAGAATATGAAAATCAATAATGAAATTGCTAGAGAAAAGAGTTAGAAAACTTCTCTATGAACACAAAGAAGAGGATGAAGGGGATTGAGAATGAATCCCTCAATCTGCAGTGAAAACTTCCTCCTTTGTAAACAGAAACCCAATCTTTTAAACAAACAGTAAAACCCTAAACCCTTGTTTAAAAACTTTGTTTAAAATACTTCTTGATTACCTGAAAAGAGATCAGCAATTGGGTATTTATACCCACTCAAGATCTCAACAAAAACCCCAAACCAAATGACAAAACAACCCCAGACAAATCAGCTCAGAAATAGCCGTTGAGAAAGCAACGGTAATATGGGCGGTCGACCGGAAATTCTATCGGTCGACCGACGGAGAGCAAAAACCCGAAGAAACGATCTGGACCATCGTCGGTCGACCGGTGCGGTCGACCGATGGAGCTTTTGGTCGACCAGACCGGTCAACCGACAGACTCTCTGTCGCCCAGTGAGCACGAGAACACAGATCCGGTCGACCGGTGCGGTCGACCGCAGGTTTTTGACACATTTAAACAATTTGTAAAATATTCATTTGACTTCTGAAAATTATGAAACTTTGGGAAATGTATATAAACATGTAAATGAACATGTTACAAAAAGAATTTTCCTAATTGCATTTCCCATTTGTGAAAAATCATCATTTTGCAAAATAGTTCAAAACACGAAAATGTAAACATGTGAAATTTGATATTTTGGTTAAACCATGTTTTGAAACTTTGCACAATGATTATATAGACTTAATAAAATATGTATATGATTATTGTTAAGTCCAAAAAACTAAGAATACATATTTTCACAAAATTGCATATTCTATGCAATATTTTCAAAAACACAATTGAGTATGTAGTATCATAAAAAACCAAAACGCATGTATGTATATATATAACTATATATATGCAGAGAAACCAAAACTTATGTATATATATATA